AAAGGGTTATCAAGTGTAAAGACAATAACAGTAATAATAATAATAAGTTTGGGACATAAAATGAACATTAATCAGATTATGTCACCACATTATAAGATTGATTGTTAGCTAGTTGGCCAGGGTAAAAGGAGTGGCTGAACGTACTTCTTTTGGATACAAAGCTTTGGCTTTTTGATCCGAATAGCAATTGCTTCAGCCGTCTGTAGTATTCGCAGTATGACGGAATTAGGTAGACTGCTGTTGACACGATAAACTATTGCAAAAGATTGCTCCATGTTGGCTGTATGTCCTGTTTGGACTAAATGGTCTAAGATGGAGCTGTTAACAGTTTTGACAACACCTTTGCTTAACCACACGGTAGGTGCTCACGAGCCCGAATGTACAAATTCCTAGAACATCTGCCAATATAACTTGCTCCACAGGAGCAGTTGAATTGATAGATACAGAAGGAGGTGGCTAGTCTAGGTAATTTATCTTTCAACCTCGGAGTGATTATTGGTCGTGTGGAGAATACTAGTTGTAGTTTAGCTGCGTTGAAAGTCCTTTGAATTGATCTACTTAACTTAAGTCTTAACATTTCACTCGGCGCGTCTCCTCTGAATTGTAAGCGTATATATAGAGGCTTTCTATTTACTGTTGGACATTCTCTACGCTGTCTTTTATTGGCTAAGTTTTTATTTATAAATTTCTCTGGATATCCATTTTCTTTCAGGGTTGTAAACAATGTCTTTGTTTCATCTTCAGTCGTATCCATAGTGCATATAGTCTTGATTCTATGATGTAGTGTCTTGATAAGGTTCCTTTTTTGTTGTATATACATATTACAATTTCCAAATGATGATGTATTTTGCCTTAAATCTGGCCAATTTTATGGATTATTAATCTGGATTTATAATTGTAGAACCTGATGAGAAATTATTGAAAAGAATATTCTTCGTTCATACAATTGTGTTTTTAATATAATGGGAATTTTTCATCGATTAAAATCTTACGCTTTTGCTAGCATCTACAACACAGTTTACGTCAATACAGACATGAAAAATTCATGCAAACGACCTGGATGCCGTTTTGCTGTTACATCTGGGATGCAGTGCGACAACTGCAAAGGTTGGTTCCACGAAGCGTGCACAGATCTCACAGCAACTGCTTACAACAGACTCAGCAAGTCGGGTTATAAGTGGTAATGTGTTACATACAGCGCGGATGCTGTAGTCTTGCTGAGTAACATCAGTGTCCTACTGACAGGTCTGCAGAGCAAGTTGTAGGCAAACTTGGGAAAAGACAGTCAAAAAATGGGTAGACAAACAAGAGAGCGCATTGAATACGAGAACAGGGATGTCGACTGGTCTACCAACGACGGAGCATGCAACAGCATTAATGATGACACGCTGAAACTCGGCACCATGATTACGACGACGGTACTTGACTCCCTTAGCAAACTCGCGTCTCGCAGCTCAAGGTCCTTGAACGCGACAGTGGTTCCCAAAAACCCTGTAGGTGATTGGACCCATGTTAAAAGAGCTAAAAAGGACCAGGCGTCACAGTCTAAGTTGAACATCCCAGCTGTTGAACGGAATTCAGCTGGTGATCTGGTCGCACAGTCTACCCCCAAGAATGTCCGTCCGGTCATCAAAGAGCCAAGGATTCATAAACGTGCTTCGACCTCCAAACAACAAGGTGCTAAACCTGAACGCACCGGAAAACCTGGGACGACAATAACGGTTCGTGATGACTCTCTCATAGTCATGAACTTCAAAGACAACCCGGACCTTCCTCTCAGTTTGCAAGACAAAAATGATAGGATGCTGTGGGGAGAATTGAACGAGAACTTGAACTTCCATGAATAGAGCCTTTGACAGTCACACGGCTCACTCGGTGAAAGGAATCTAAACATCAAAATCACCCGAGGCTAATTCGTGTAACACAAAAATGCTACCGACGTAGATGATGACTAACTAACGAGTCATTTACTGAAATCAGATGGGAATGTAAGAATACTGCCTGACATACCGTATTCTGAGCGTAATCTCACTCGGAACATCCCCAAAGAATCTCACAATCAGTTTTTCCGCGGGAGGAGTAAAATCTTGCAAGGTATACTGGAAAATACGGACCCTACTCAATCAAAAACTGACATTAGGGAATGGAAATTCATCAAACAGTCCTTGAGGCTCAAACACATACTGACTCAGCATGTGACGAGACTAGCCAAGAAGGATGGTGATGCTAGACCCCGTCTAATGAAGATAACCTTCCCATCTTCCCATAAGGCGGCTGCAACTCTGGAAGCATTTCGTGCCAACAGACGTCGGTTGCGAACTGGAATCCACAAGCACCCGGACAAGCTATATGAAGCCAGGACCAAGCACAAAGGCAAGTTGGAGCCGATCATTCCACTTATGGACTGTCTTGATGATAAAAAAACGTGTACAGGACAGGGCCTACCAACTCGGCAAACCTTATAAGGTGGGCTACCTGTCCATTCACGTAAAATATCCCACCAATAACTTGCGCTGGAATTTTAAACGATTGAATGTGCCAGCTCTACACGACTATCTACAACAGGTGGCTTGGGATGTCCACCCCCAAGTCGATGTGGACGGTCATTGGGACATCTTACTGCACACGCTCTTATGTGCTACAAACCATTCAGTCCCGCAAACGGTTCTCAAAGCTGCAAGCCACCTACAATAATCAAGAACCGTACCCTTCGCCTGCTAAGCCGCAAAAGGCACTGTTGGGCGGAATACAAACGAACTGACAACGACGGAGCGTACAGGCAATATAAACATATAAGGAACATATGCACGAAGGCTATAAATGAAGATTGACTTCAGTACCAGACAAAGCTTATGGACAAATTTTCCTCTAATCCTAAAAGCTTATTCCGTTATGCAGCCTCTCTTCGTCAAGCCAAAACTGGAGTTTCCCAACTGGTAGGTCTTAACGGCCCGACCAACAACGATGGCGACGCCGCTAACCTTCTGGCTGAACATTACTCCCAGACATTTCAAACGACCGACATCAACTTTACTGATGACAGTTTCATCTGCAATTCCACAGGACTTTCCGAAGTGAACCTAAGCGCTGACTTGGTGTTCCGGAAACTGCAGCACTTAAGACTAGACACTTCTCCTGGCCCGGACATGGTCCATTCCGCCATACTGAGGGAAGCAGCCTCAACCCTGGCAACGCCGCTTAGCGTGATGTTCTCACACTCGCTAAGTAGAGGAAAGCTACCGGAAAATTGGAGGCTGGCTCAAATCACTCCAATTTTCAAAGGAGGTCGACGCGGCCAACCTTCAAGTTACCGACAGGTGGCTCTTCTCTCAATACCTTCAAAAATTATGGAGTCCCTGATATGCGATGGTATAAATGACTATTTACTGTCCTTAAATTTCTTCTCACCCCAACAGCATGGTTTCAGGAAGGGTTACTCTTGTATTACCAACCTGCTGACTGCGGTGGACAGATGGACAAGCATCACTGATCACAAGGGGAAGGTTGATATCATCTACCTAGATTTCTCGAAAGATTTTGATAAGGTTAACCATACATGTCTTATCAATAAGCTTAAACGATTGGGTGTCAGACCACCTCTAATCGATTGGCTCACTTCATACCTGAAAAGTCGACATTTTAAGGTCGGGGTTAATTTCACTTTATCTCAGACTATGGAATGTCCTAGTGGGGTCCCCCAGGGCTCAGTACCAGGACCTCTTCTCTTCTTGATATACATAAATGATCATCCTCAACAGGTAACGTCAGACTTATTACTTTTTGCCGACGACGCGAAGCTTTGGAGGGAGGGATACGAAACCAAGACGATATGCAGGCACTTCAGGGGGGTCTGACTCGATGACAACCGGCTTACCTTTAATACTTCAAAGTGTAAAGTAGTCCATCTGCGACATGTTGCAGACTACAGTCGTAATTCAGGAAGCTCCTCTCTAGTAGTATCCCAAGTCGAAAAAGATTTGGGAGTCCTGGTTCCCTACGATTTAAAGTCTTATGCTAACTGCGACAAAAATGCCTTCCGAGCAAACCTTGCACTGGTATCATTGAAGGCATTTTTGGCCGGTTTGACGGAAGAACTTTCCATATGATCTTCAATAGTTTCATCCGTTCCCACTTAGAATACGGAAACGCAGTATTTCCCCCTCACTCCAAAAGGATAAGAACACTGGAACGTATCTAACGGCGAGCCACAAAATCAGTTCGAGGACTCAAATTTAAACCTTGCGAAGAGCGCCTTCAGTCACTTAACCTTTACCCATTAGAGTATAGGCGTCTTCGAGGTGACCTTCTAATGGGTTACAGTATCCTTAACACTTCTGGACATCCACTTAAACACCTACTTAAGCTTAGTTCCAACACTAACCTAAGAGCTAACACCTAGAAACAGGAGATACAACATAGCAGAACGGACTGTAGACACAACTTCTACTTCCTAAGAGTTGTCAAATGCTGGAATTTGCTTCCGGCCGAGATAGTCCAAGCGACTTCCCAGGAATTTTTTATGAGGCGACTTCATCTATTCTTAAGGATTAAGGATAGTATCATACTATGATTGCCAATCTCTTTATCCTCTTTTGTTGTTAACATAACTAGGTTCTTGCCTGGAGGATTTGTTGATCACCTGCTACTAGACACGAAAGCCTGTTAAGCGAAAGGTTCTTCTATTCCGTCCACAACCATTTGAACCATTTGAAGCAGTGGTGACCGCACCTTTAATTGACTCTTTCAAGAGAAGACTGGACACTCACAGGAGCATAATAGAAAAGGACTAAAATAGGCCGTAGGCCTTCTGTCCTTACTACACAAATCTGAATCTAAATCTGAACTAAAATACCTATATTAATGGACTAATCAAATGCGAATAGAGATCTGGCGCGAATATTCAACTGATGGCTGCTTCTACTGTCGTTTCTGTCCGTCCCAAGTGTCTTGGAGAATGGATATTGGAAAAGATTGCACCGTGAACTTTATTCATTGAAAAGATGGAAGAACTTCAAATTGCCTTTGTGGGGTCACCTCCACCTTCAGGAGAGGAGATTTGCGCTTCCGATATAAACTTTGATAGGACTCTTCCTGGTTTGCATCAAGTAATTTAACTTCTATCTAAGTAGTTTTTAGTATCTTGGAACAGATTTTGTAGATGTAGGCGGGAGAACGTTTTTGGAGCCTGGGAGTGAGACTCATATGTACGCATTTTATCGCAAGGATGTTGTGTTGGTGCCCGGACATTCTCTTCCATTGATACCTTATGATCCATTGGAATCAGATCTTCTCCAAAAAATTAATAAGGAGAGAAAGCCCTTGATATTTCTTCCTGGGTAGTGAGTTGTCATTGTTCTACGTTTTCCTAGTGAGCATTGTATTTCACACATTTGCTACTTGTTTTTAATTCACAAGAACTAAAATAACTTGTTTTATTTTTGAGTAGAAAATATTTGTGTAACTTTTTTGCTGTTCATTTACCCCTAAACCGCTAGCTATGATAGGTGCAAAATGAGTGCTGTTGTACTCTCAAACTGCTGCAAAGTGATGGACCCAGGCAGACTTGCCCAGTCGTCTCTACAAATGATTTTAGTTTTAAAGTGTGCGTATTGCAGTTATCTATTCGCATATCTATCTAGGCTGTTTATGTCTAAGGTTCAACCCTGAAGCGATCACTTCAGAGAAATATATGACTAATTTATATATATCAGGACAGGATGTTCGTTTGACAGCTGTCTTCTGTAACTGTATAAATCACTAGCGATTCCCGATAATTACCACCATCACCAGGATTACCTAGAGATCACAGTTTCTGGCTCAAGAATGCTTAAATGATTCGTACTGGGGTCATTTGCTGATAACTCGAATATGTACTGGACCTGAAGTAATTTGAAATCGTCTGTTGGATTGTGATAATGATCTGCTATGAGCTGAATTTATCTTCCGTTTTGGCAGTCGAAAAGTATTGTGCTTGACGAATTTGTGTAAGTAAACTGGCTTCACTTACCATTCCATTCAAAGTGGAAAAATATTGGTTTAAGTCACTTGACAAAAAATGTGCGAATTCTCTTACCAATTCGTTGTGTCACAGTTATGATCAATGGGCTTCTGTAGTCCTTACAATTTCAGTCAGTCATTCACAACGTAGAACCTGATAAGTATGTACATCTGTTCATGTTGCCCTACCCCTTAGCACACCGAGATGAAATCGTCAGGCCGAAACCCGGAGTTTATTTATTTAAGCAAATAAACATTGGCACAAGGAGGCATCAAACAGATATGCGCCACATAAATCGAATGATTTGTACGAGGGCCGGGATACTGCCCGGGTGCCCAAACCGAAGCAGGAAATCCCGGAATAGTGAAGGTAGTAACAGTATTAGTGGGAATAGGAAGATCAGGCATCGACGATACAGTTCGATAAGAAAATATAATTTAGTGAACGAAAGACAAAATACTTCCTGGAAAATTTAGAATCTCACGATTTGGGGTAAGACAAAAATGGATTCATCTGTGTCATGTCAAACTGTGCCATGTCATTTAAAGTCACTAACCATTGGTTACGATTATCGTGCGGACCCCAGCCAGGCAGTTCACACCTATTAACATGGCTAAGTCCAGTGGTCTATGTGTCTTCTGTTTTTATTTGACTGCTTATTGGCTTTTCCCGTTCTACTCCATCAGGAAACCGGTCGTTAAGGTTGATGGTAGTTGGGCATACGTAACACATTTCCCAACCATCTCAGTCGATGAAGATTTACTACATCATCAGTCAATTTATCATCCTTACCTAGCATCATGTTCCTAACTCAGGCATTACTTGCTTCCTGGACCTGAAATAGACGAGCAATGCTTCGAAGACATATAATCGAATACCAGTAACCTACGAATATCCTCTTTTTTAATGGCCATGTCTCACCTTTCAATGAAAAACATTGCCACAAAACTTCATGATCAACGGAGTCGAACTCTACCTTAAAGTCTCTTACAATCCGGTCTTTTCCAGATTGCATGTAAGACAATAAGCCTAAGTCCGTAAATTTACAATTTTCCAATCCTTACGTAAATATTCCGTAATCTTTAAGTCGGTCTGTGATACAGAGTTGGGAACAATAGGTGCACTTAATAATTAAGGAAAACTGTTCTGACTAGTCCCAAAGACTGTCGTTTCCAACTCTTAAGGAATGGTTTCATAATTTATGAAATTACCAAGGGTCGCACATCTCACCAGTTGAGCTATCCTCTACACATCCGGATTGTCTATCATAAATTTTCTTGAAATCTGTCCTAATCTCTTTTCAGACAAATAATTATGGGAACTCTATTTACTCTTCCTATAGAATTTCTTATAGCTAATTTGGGAATGTCTCATTGTGATATTTTCAACCTTTAAATACTTGTTTTTAACATTGGCTTTTATCTTGCTTTCCTGTTTGTTGAATTTTAGTCAAGATCATGTGAGCTTGGGGATTTTATTGGTTGTGTTGGTACTACGGCTGACTTAGTTGCCATCTGTATTCCTGATTCAAACGAAAATGCTCCTATTCGTGCTATGTTTATTGGCAGACAACGGATTCGTATCACTAAAGCAACGCGTGACTCTTTATAGTAATTTTTTCACATAAATTATCGACTTCATACCAATTTTTTATTTGATCGTAGCATAACTGTATTCTTCGCTAACACTGATATAATAATTCCATACAGTCCAAATTTATTTCAATAAACGAAAATACTCACTGAGAAGAGTTCTCTTCTCAAAGAATTCGTTTTTAAAACTGCACAACCGCAACTATATACTTTACAGAAGGATAATCGGTAATGAGTTAATTACGATAATAACAACTACTCATTATAGCAGTAATAGATTCGTTAAATATAGTAACCGAGCGAAATAAACTAAAACATAAATGTTATACTTAGTAGTAAATTGACGGTGCAGTTCCTATAAGCTTGAGTAAGAAGAGTAAATGGCATTTTGTGGTAAGATGAAATGTCGAAGCTGTGATGACCTCTATGATCGGAAAAAGCATGGTAACAAAATGGGTCGATTGGGGGGGGTAGAAGGTTAGCTGAGGTGACAGGAGGGAAAGTGATGAGTTTTAAAAAATTTAAGATTAAGGCCATAGTTTCTCGTGTATATATAGTTCTGGGTTTTCCAGGTGTATCGTGAAAGGTTCGGCAATGTTGAAAAGACGATGATTCACTGTCTTTGACAGCTTTCTGTTTACATTGTAGATGACTAAACTATGTGTATTTTAGTCGAATGACATGTGTCCACATGGTGTTCGATTTTGGAACTTCGTACCAAACCGATTCTGCATCTTTTCAGCCAAGTTGGATTGTGTTGTTGAATTCTCTCGTATAGAACGCGCACCGAACGACACGTAGAGGTAGCCCACGTGAGCAGGTGGATTGATTAATGTCTATATAACTGGTCAAACATCAGAGTTTGTCCTATAAATTGCCACTGAACATTGGTCGACTGTAAAATACTAATCGTAAGGTAGCTTGCTACATGAATACGAAGAACTCACAGTCCCAAAACGACATAATAAAGTGGACCTCTTATGGAAAACGGCTATCGAGAGTGGGTATCACAGAAATTTGTTGACAAATACAATTCAAACTATGCTCCGACGTCGATTTTAAAGGTGAAAAGTATGCGGACATCTTGAGAAAAATTTGTGACTATCAAAAGAACTTCCTTCGCATCCACCTTACGATTAGTATTCCACGATCGACCAGTGTTCATTAACAACATTCGACTATTTGTATACGTATTTATCAATTCTCCTGCTGTCATATCATCAGAACTGGATGAAATTAACAAGATGAGAAAATAGTTATTTCCATGAGATTATATATAAAAGATAAAGTAGAGATGTTGCGCAACTCTGATTGGAGAGTAGCTAGAGGTTACTTTAACTATTACTCACTGCTTCACCCAGTCGCCAGGTCTAAAAGTAGAAAATACAGTCTTTTTCAGGTATATTTACGTTGGCCTCCGACATTCTAGTCTCAATTCTTTTGATTAGTCTTCGCGGCTGCCCCATGTTTAATGTCATTAAAAATCTATCTATTTTATCTCCTGTCCCCATCAGGACTCATTATCTTTGCGTTAAATTGTAGATATGGTATGAAATAGGTTTTAAATGTCAAATGTTGTGACTTTTTAGAGTACAAGTATTTTGACGCATGTTTTTATTTGTTGAAATAATGAAATCCTCCATAATACTTTGTACTTGATCGATAATTACTCGTAACATTGAATTACTGTCCTAGCCTCCTAAAATAAACTGATATTAATTTAAAATTGAGATGAAATTTTTCCTGGTAAGTCGACACGCTTATATACAAAACATTGGACGCAAGAATAATCATTATAGGTTGTTTAGAACAAGCAGTTTTTATGACGTGAACTTCGTAAGCCACTTACGCATAAATAGAGCTAAGGCTTGTCCGTCAGGGTTATATCTTGCTCGTCACCTCAAATACACTTTACTACTCATATTTTGAAGAATAAATATACAAGTTGACTTGATGGACCTTTCAATTAATATCATCGCGAGCGTTTAGTTTTCATTCAGAAATAAGAAACTTAGTTATAAAATCTTTTGTCATGTTTTCCTATCCATTCAGTTTTATAAGGATTGGTAGTGTGAGCAGTAAAACCTCCTAAGGTAGTAATAATTGAATATCCTGAAATAGAATAATGTAATTTTTTCTTATGGACTGCTTTCAGAATGATAGTTTTCCTCACTTGGCCGTTTCAATCTTAGTTATTGTTCTTGTAAGCTTCTGAACGATACATTTGTAAATTCCCACGTCTTCCTTCATATTCTCTGTTTCACTTCGCTTTCTTAATTATAGCCCCCTTGTTTGTCATGGTACAATTTTACCAGAAGCATCTTTTGATCGTGAAATGGCCAGTCACCCTTTGGGTTGGGGATTGATTCCTCGATCATGGGCTCGTTTCGGTCGCGACCCACTACCAGCACGTCCAAGTACTCAGAATTCCAACTCATTAAACCAAGTTTCAGCCAGTGCAGTGTCTACAAAGTATGTTTAGCATAGTACTTTGTTGAATGGTAACTAAATTTCATTGTATTTTCAAAAAGTCATTTTTAAGTGTCAGTTATGATCTGTTGCGGAGGATCTTCATTGTTAAGACAACTTCCTTGCAATTATTATTTTTAGGTATTCAAACACTCGTCCCTCTCACAATAGTCTACCCAGTTCTCCCCCATCACATTCTCTCACAGTAAACTTTTGTGTCCCACCAGCAGGTAATGCCTTTTCTATTTTCGATTCCCGGTTGAGTACCTGGAGAACTGCAGGACCCATCAGCTCTGGAAATATATATCCGTCGTGTAGCTCCGCAGGAGCTCGACTTGATCATTTTGTTGACGATGGTTCAGACCAGGAAGACAACTCAAAAAAATCGAAATGTGATCCTGATAAGTTTGACAATGAAGGCGATACGGAGGTAAATTGTGCATCATCCAGTTATAACAAAAAGCAGGGTGTAAAATCAGGAAATAAACTAGCTAGATCTTCCTCACTTTCAGAAGACGTTGAATTAATTGTGGATCGTGCTGTTGATCGAGTTGGCAGACCCTTCCATTATCGTATCAAACAGCTTTGTGATCCTCGTCTCTTGGCTCGTCGTGATGTTTTAGCCGCAGTTGCACAAGCTTACGCTTCTCTACCGTATTGGGTTTATCGACAGTATGATTTGGTAGGTTTCAGTTATCATCTTTCTGATTTTCATGTCTTTAAATTGATTTCTTCATAGTATTTCATCCGTTTCATAACTACAAAAATCAAATAAATGTTCAAATAATTTGTTTATGAGGATCTCATTTGACAGTAATATTGATATCAAAGGTGCACGTAAAACAATAGTTTATGTTGGTATTCATGAAATTTACTTCATTTTACTTAGATCTGTAAATTTTAAGCCTTTTACTTATATGATCTGCCAGCGATTCCGTGAGAATAGACAATTCATTTACAGATCTAGTTTTATTTGTGTATGTAATCAATAACAGGTGCATCAGGAACGTTAAAATTTAAGATTCGTATCTTTAATGAATAATTCCTCTCAGATCGCATTCAATTTTCAACATAAAAGCAATATATCATTATCCTACTACGTCAATGCTATCGTTTTATGTACCAGTTTAGAAATCATCATTATGTGTGAAGTGTTGAGATGGTGAATCGATGAAACAGTATATATCGTGTAGTTCTGAATATATGATGATGTTATACATATAAGCTATTGTTTTGTTTACATTAGCTTTATTTCGTATCCACGGCTTCACTGTATGACCCTTAGGTACAATATTCTTGTTCACTTTCCTGGGAATACAAATATTATTACCTCAAAAACATTTAAAAGTTATATGACTTTCATGTTTACGTATTGCACTAATATATGTGGATTCTCGATTCATTTGTGTAAAACTAACATTACTTTGGCCCACAATCTTTTCTGTTTTTCATCTTTATTCATTATCACTAGTTATTTTTTAGTTTTAATACGTGCATAGATTCCAAAAAGGGTTTAGTGACTAAAGTTCACTCGCTCCTGTACGTAGCCCTGAATTTTTGTTTATCGATCTACCAAAATTGGTTCCAGTTACCTCTTAATAACAGTGACATTTTTATGTGACTAACTATTAGTGCCTCTGTTTCAAATAGGTGAACAAGCTCATAAACAGTTCGGTATCAAGTGTGGATATTTAGGAGCTGATGTTAAAAATTTTTATTTTTCCATATTTATAACCTGACTGAAACCGATAGTCTGTTGGATCAAATACTTTATCTTGCTTTGTGGATAAATATTTTGGACTAGTCTTTGCAACTCATTTGGAATGCGCTTCTCTCCCTCTAAATGCAAGTTGTTGCTTCAGGATTGGTCTGCGTTAACACTTGAACTAAGGATAGGGAGTGAAGTAGTCGAACGCGTTGACAACTTCACATATCTTGGAAGTCTGATCAGCCCTAATGGGTTGGTATCGGACGAAATCTCAGCACGGATTCGAAAAGCTCGTTTGGCTTTTGCCAGCTTACGTCACCTGTGGCGAAGGCGAGATATCCGTCTATCAATAAAAGGACGAGTATACTGCGTGGAAGTCCGTTCTGTTTTAATTTACGGCAGCGAAACATGGCCATTAAGAGTAGAAGACACTCGTAAGCTATTAGTATTTGACCACAGATGCCTTAGAAATATTTCTGGCGTCTGCTGGGATCACCGGGTAAGTAATAGTGAGGTTAGACGCAGGGTATTAGGGAATGATGGTAAATCAGTTGATGAGGTTATGAATCTTCATCGACTGAGATGGTCGGGCCACGTATTACGTATGCCTGAACACCGATTACCACGACGTGCAATGCTATCCGGTATTGGAGATGGTTGGAAAAAAGTTAGGGGCGGCCAAACCAAAACGTGGCATCAGTGCTTGAAGTCACTAACTTGTAGTCTGAGCCATGTTGGTAGATGCAGACTACTTGGTTGGGGTCCGCGTGACTATCGTAACCAATGGTTGGAGACTCTTTGTGACATGGCTCAGAATCGATCACGATGGCGTCGGTGTATATACTCTCTGTCTTCCCTTAAACTAAGAGATTAAAATCGCTTCATATCTTTCTTTCTACGAACCAATTCTTTCTTCTTGTATTATATCTCTATATGCAATCTTTCTCTTATATATTACCACCTTTGACATAACCACTGCTATGAATCCGGTGTTCATCTTGTTGTGCTGATGCGGTATGGCAACCTGGACCGATGCACATATGTGCCTGGTCCTACGTTGTAGCTGACTGACTGACTAGTATATTTGGTAAAATATCTGCTAGTTTTTAGGAATACGCTATACATGGTGTTTTATTAAGCGTAAAATGTCACTAGATATGATCATCTTATTTGAATAAGACTGATAGTTCTAGAGGAAGATTGATACCATAGCATGTTCCAAATTCAGAAAAAACGTTCAGATTATTCTGTAAAAATATGGCGTAATAGAAAAGGGTGTTAAATGAGCTAAAAAAACAAAGTTTAGTCTGCTATTAGCGGTATCGCATTTGTGGTTTTTTAATCTTTGGTACAAAAAGGCTTTAGTGACTTACTGATATGGTCGAAATCGCTTACGTAACTAATGGTAATCTCAGCCACTCATTGATAACTTGTCCAAAACGAATTTTCAAGTGATACTCCCTTATTCTACATATAACGAAGCCATTGTATTTTGGAAGTGAGTTTAATCACCCCACTTGTTTGCTAATTTATTGTACATCTAAATCGGAATGCTGTCATATTTAATTGGTTGTAGAATTATTTAGTTGCAGCCATTCAAGCGGAACTTTATAATTGGAATGATACTTGGCAAGTTGATAAATGGAATCCTGAATTAGCCGTCCCTTTTTCTTACTGGCTAATACAAAATCTTCCGATGTCTGGTTCGTTGAAATCTCATATATTGGGTATCGATCATGTTGTACAACGTTTACGAGCTTTGCTAGAAGTTATACGCCGTGTGAGTATATGTATACATATATTTGAACATAAACTTTGTTACGAAGGGGAACGAAAATATACATGCGTCACACAAATAATTGGGTTTTTGTGAGCTTGAATACTACCTGGGTCCCCAAAACGGTAGTAGTTGGTTTTTCTAGGGAACCACTCTGAGCGTTTGACCCGGAGTTCTAATCCAAAAGGTAGTGGAGCAGCGTTATACGATGCGATCCTACAGCAGCCACTGACCAAGAATATGTTCATACGCCATTGATTTGGAATCAAAATTTCCATATTCCTCTAGGTAGATCCTCTCTACTTACCAACCCGGTTTAATTACCGGACTTCGCTTTTCTTCCTCTGAATTTTGTAAACATGCCCACCACGAGAAGGCAGTTTGTAGGACTTCTGGAGAAGTGGCTATATACACCTAGCCATATAAGAGCATTTCGAGAGTAAGAGCGGATTATCCTCACTTTCCGCCGTGCCAGAGCATTTAGGCTCATACATATAGGAAGTGGTTTGTGATCAGTTCGAAGTTAGTTATTTGGTCGATTTGAGTTTTTGAAAGTATATCTGTTTTCAGGGAGGACGCTATCCAAAAGCTTTTTCATAATATAATGACTGATGGAAGCCCAATATCTTTTTTAACGCTCAGTTCTTGTCACTGATAGATGATGGACCCATATAGTACTTATATAAAGGTCTCATAATACCTTTCAACTAAATCCACACGGTAGAATGTTTTTAACGGTTGGATTCATGTGCTGATCTAAGCTAGACCATCATTGAAAACCTGGAAATACTGAGCGGCCGTCTCGTTCTAGTGTGGGACTCCACAGCAGTGGGCATTCACAACCCTACACGTGGGACTCGAACCCAGGACCTTTGGTTCACGTGCGTATTCTTAACCTCCAGACCACTGAGCCGGAATCCAGTGATGTTAATGTCTAACATCAGTCGACCCATGATCTTGCGCAACCCTTCATCCATTGTCCGAGATGGATAACTGTCTCACTCGACACGGACCAAACTCCATTGGTCAATGCTTCTCACTAGAACTTCAGGAAATCGATCTAAAGCTAGTCACTAGTGAGCTCATTATTATTATTATTATCAGAATGCGAATCTGTTGAAATCGTAGTAATTTTGAAAATCGACTCATGAATTCAACTGTTAAAATCACTACGATCACAAATCCTCATTCTGAGAATACTCTTTATTAGATATCATATGGTTGTTTCTAGTAGTCGATGGTGGGTGTGTACACATTTGCCGGTACTATTTCTTTATATCTGTTATTAAAAATCCAGAAAGTTCTGCTTCGCCCCGAACTCGTTGAAAGCTAGCTTTACTAGTTTTTCATGCATAATTTATTTACTGTTGTTTCGTTTTGCTGTCTCTTATCAGTATATAAACAATACGAACGATAAACTGCAATTGTTTTTTTGTTCATTAAAGATCACCAGTACATTCCCATTTTGTGCCAGCTTACCGACGTCATTGTAGTTACATACACCCTTATATATACTATTTTAATGATTCCCATTCATAGGCTGCTTCAAAATATTAAGTACTATTGTTGAATTGCGTAAAACATTATTATCACATTTCCCCCTAAGTTTTTATGTTAATTTACTGATAATACTTATTTTCCTCTTAAAAATCAATCTTAAGTTTCTGTTTTCTAAAAACACTGAATTTTCTTTAGTCGACAGCCTGTGTTTGTTCATCATGTGATGCAAATATCACTTCAAACCAATATATTATATGCCTTGCTCAAGAAGGAAGTTCACAGACGTATATTAATCCATCTGGCATTTTACACGATATTGTAACTGTGAGTCAAGTCACACCAAATTCTGTTAATCTTATCGGTGAGGCCTCAGCTGAATATTCCTGGTTCCCTGGGTATGTTAATAAGCTGTTTTTCTGAATATATCTATCAAATATTTTATAATGTAAAGATGCAATAAGTCTTGTATTACCGAAAATTTGATTACTGTGATTCTTGCGGGACGTTTTAAAAAGGATTACCCCCAAAATATAGACATTGTACAACACTTTCACCATTGGGATTTTTCAACCATTCTGTTTTGACTTATGGTTTGTCTTTTTCAATCGGTACGCCTACAATCTTCTAATATAATGGAGATAGATCTTCCTCAAACCTTTACTAGGCACCTTATGCGTACTTCAATATATTAAATTATTAATTGTTTCCAATGATCTAGCATTATGAGTTAGTACAGACTTTGTGTGCTGTCACTCTATCTAAGTTTGTTTTTCATTAGTCTTTAGAAATGGTAATTAGTCTCCCATGAAAACCACTTATTATAGACAATTTAACAACTCAAACGAACAAATAATTCATCCCAAACTCATCTCTTCAAACATTTAGGCCGTATCAAGATTTGTAGAACAAATTAACAACTCATTATATGTGAAAATGATATTTGAAATAATCTCAGAGATTGCAATTTAAATATCATTTTCACATATAATGACTTCTATATACTCGGTGTCCAATTTCTGTAAAACTATTCGTTTTAATCTTGACGAATATTCGTACAAATCAACAAATATTTTGGAGTTTTGTTACTTAAATGACCCGGCAAAATCAATTGAAAGACAAACATCATAAATTATTTCGAAATACGTGCATTCTGTGCAGATTGCCTCTATATTGCCACTGAGTCACAAGCACTATAAGAAAAGGCGGACAAGCCAGTGACTATCTGAACTCAGTAGCTTGGTGGATAACGCGATATCGGACGGTACTGGGTTCGACTACTGGAGTGAACATCAGTCCTGAGATGCAGGTACATCCGACTGACGAGTTCCGAACAGGTCAAAAGGCGCATCTCGGATTCCACTCCTAGCTACCATCCACCTGTGTTCACTGTAAAGAGAGCCTTCTCGATTCATAAATGTTCATGTCTTTCGCCCATAGTGTATAATGTACATACTGATTAAATAGACCATATCAAAGGTATCAAAATTATGAATTAATTTATTTTGTGATTTGGCTCCATTAAATAAACCATTGGCACGAAGGTGCATAATCATCAAAATAAAACGAATTGTTGATTCATTTCATTGGCTCTTATTATTGTGAGAGATTATCTCATTTTCTCATTGTTGTAGTTAGTATTTTTAAACAGAATAACTCTTCCATGTAAGCTTTTGCGTTGCAATACATTATGTGTATAAAAATATTATCACTCGAAAAATAATTCAAGATTCGATAGGTCAAATAACAGATATTCCATTCTATAGAATTGTAGATGACCATGTACTACATACTGTCACATGAGCAGTAGTAAACTATTAGGGACAGTCGCCATTACTGGGTAGCCAGATCAAAAGATTTCGTATATTAGACTTCAGTTCCCCTCTCTCAAATCGGAGGCAGTCAGCTGTGATCTTTATTTACTCAGTTTGACGAATCAACCTGTTAAAATAACGCTATTCGTAGTCAGCATACTGGTGAAAGATTTGTGTTGGTTTTGATCATCATAATCTGTCTAACCAAACTTTTGTACATAATTTTTTCTAACAACGCCTTTTAATTTCTTATCCACCTTGTGTAACTACGTGCTCTTCAATACTTTCACTATTTTAGTTATTCTTGGACAATAGCCAATTGTAATAGTTGTTACCAGCATATGGGTTGGTTATTCAAAGCGTTAAATGATCAGTTACGTCCACGAAAATTTTGGGGTATCCGACGTCAGACAGTTGTACCCGGTTTAATAAGTGCATCAGATTGGCGTCCTTGTATTTAATTTGTTAAGGAAAAGTATCTTGATTTTTATCTTTCTTTAACAAAATTGTTATCAACAGATATTGTCTTGTTCATTTCCTTTGTCATTAAAGTTTTATATGTGAAATTTGAGTCATATATATCGACAACACATTCTAACTGTTGCGAGTTGTTTATACGCATAAGTTCATAATTTGTCATTATTTTCCTCTAAGGTTATCCCTCGTGTTTATTATAATTTAAAGCTGTAATATAAACAAACATAACTGTACTTTTTAAATAAACTGTTCACCTCGGCTTTAGCTTCTAAGGATTTTTTTCGAAAATACTGTTCACATTTCGATTGTACTGCTTTTCCTAAATGTGATTTTCATTTGTCAACTCTCGCTCAGTTCAAGTCTATTTTTTCTGTCGGTCCACAGGTTTTTTGTTGCTTTTTCATTAATTTTAAAATAAAATTGAACAATTTGAGATCGAATTAATTCGTTCATGTTGAATGCATGGGTACTCATATGATGCTTTTGTTGAACATTTTATTGCTTGTTTATCTATTATTTCTTTCACACTAAGCAGAAAACTTCATTGATTTTATGATGACGCTCTCAATTACCTACTCATTTAAATAACTTATTTTTCATGTAATCAATCTGTGTACATTTGGCATTCATTTTTTATCTTATTTGATTGAGTGAATGACTTCTATAAATTGGTTTATAAAATTTAGGGAGATTGTTACTTTAGCTAACTTTGTATGTCAGCATTTTTCATGCTAAAGCAATGTTATCACTATTGCTGATATTGATTTTATTGTTTACAACATGTTTATATTGTTAATTTTAGGGAACCAATCAGTGTTCCCTCATTGCTTCTTTATTCTACCATTTACCAGGGCCATAGTTTTATAGTCTAATGATTTAATATAGGTGCAGGTTTGCCTTTGGCTGTCGTCAGTATGAACTGACGATTACTTACTTTTTATTGGGAGCTGATTAGATAAATAACTACATGTAACACTTGATTATTATTCACCATGAAACGCTCATAACATTTGACATCCACACATTTATTCTCTCCCTATAAGTACGTAAATGATAGGACAAGTTATTTAATTCTCTTACTGTTATAACACAGTACACCTCACACGTTTATGGTTTTAGATTTGTTAGACTTGTGATGTTATGTCAGAAAGTCATATTTTTGATGACACTAGTTACAACTTAGCTGCTATCGATAAATTTGAGATTTCACTTAACACGGAGGAGGATAATCATATAGTCCTTAATTTTATATATACGATCTACAGATACTAGTTACTAAAATTTCTTACATTGTATGGTGCTTTAATTATCATTAGTTTGTTTTTTTGGGCTGGAGAAGACAGCTTATCCTGGATAAGCAGCTCACTAGGTTATTTGATATTGACTTAATGTTAGTCTTCAGACAGCTTTAAATCTGTTGCAATAAATTTGTTCTGTGTAGTACCTACCAATTACCGAGACGTTCTACTTCAAAAGTTCTCACTATCTCTCAGTGTGATTGAACCACGACGATTATACATATAAATAAATCAGAGGCCAAATGATTATCTCTGAGGATCTACGTTTCATTTAATTCAATACGTTGAATTGTTAAGCCAGGCACTAAAGTATGTCCTACGTACATAAGTCGTGTTGAGTAGACAGCAAGGAGTGAGAGCACAGTAAAAAAATGAACGAGAGTAGCACGTAGTGGAAGAAAAAATTCAATATTCTCTATGAATATAAACCCGAAAATCGTTATTCAAACAGTAAAGTTAGGATTTAATGTAATGCGTGAAGCTATCTCGCTTTCGATAGCTGAGTGTAGAACATACAATGTGCCATCAGAGGAAACGGACTCTACATACACAATATTTGCTGCGGCGACCTCCGGTATTTTTCCGGTAACGCATCTACAACTTTCATTTCTTCATACAAATAATTTGTTGGGTCTTCACACTCCTATGATATACGCACGAAACTGGTATTATCTATTCTAATTTATCGTGTCTTGATTGCAATTTCTCAAAATTATAAATGCTACAGGGTGGCGTTTTGTTTGAGTCTGACAAAATCGAACAGATTCACGTTAACTAGATTTTCTCTGGTCACTAACTAAAGATGTGTTATTCCGACAACTCACATATCGTGTCTTAATCTTGCATGTAATGCTTACACACCGCGAATCACCAAAACATACTACTGATTATTTCATTAAAGCAAAACATTCAAAGTGCACAAACTACATGCTAGTTAGGGATCAGTTTCTATGAAATTGACGGCGGGAGTACCAAAACCGCTGAGAGGATGTTACTTGCTTGTGCAAGTCTCCTTAGCAGTGCGTATGATACGGGGTCACAGCTCTGAACTGTCGCGAATATATGTTTAAACCATTGAGTCAGAATACAGTTGTCAACATTGCTCATAGTACGTACACCAATATCAACGGACTATGATACAGCATAAGTTAGTGACGTCATCTATCCTTAACGACAATCAATTTATGAGAGCAAAAATACTAATTGTCTGAAACTCAACGATCCAGTCCTGATTAGTGGCCACATGATTCAAATAAGGATCCAGCGCTCGATAGCTAACACAAGTCACCACCTATAACTGCACCGCGTAACTCGATACGATAAACGATGTGTTCACACGCGATTTTGTGTTGTTAGTAATTTGGAAAAGTAGTAAACTGGGGTTTTACATATATAATTGCGAAATCAATCCAGGAGAAGTTAGTCTATGTTGTAGTATCTGACAACAATTTGAAATTGTTCCCAAGAAGATAAATTTATACATCTGGCACGAAAACTCTGCCCTTAATTATTTTTTGTAACTACCGACTTTACGATGATAAGACACGATATCATCGAATTACAAAAGTTTACAAGGAAAAGTAAGTAATATGGGGAATCTTTTGTGAAATTTTACGAAGAGAAAAAAGCAGTTACATAACAATCTCACATAAAGAAAAATCAAACCATTTACTCATTAAAAGAACATTATTTTTTGCATCCGTTGATAGTGTTTAAACGTAGTTAAATGCTTTCCATTATCATGAAAAATTATCATACTGCCGAAAAGGCAACTAAACATTAAAAATAAACGAATGAACAACACATCATAACAAATAAATCGACAGGATTCAACTATATACAATAAGATAATGAGTATAGATTATTGTAGGACACCGAAAAAAAATTACACTGAACTTTAGTTATTATTAGTTTATTATTTGGCGACTTTTAAAACAACTACTGACCACTACAAAAATCTCCCTGAATGTCAATCAAAATGGAAAATATACAAAGTAAAATTAGTCATAAGCATACATCAAAGAACATAATTACAAATAAATTTAAACTTTAAAAATATCCGGAGAAACACAAGGTTTATTTTCAATAATTTGCTTATCAAATTGAGGAGAAACATGTGGTAAATTACGAACTGGTAGACATTCATCAGCCTCATCCTCTACTTCTTCATCATTTTCGTAATTATTTCCATTTAAATGATTTTTAGATGTATCAAATGAGTTTACCATAATATTGTCTGTAGATTCAACTTTACAGCCACCTGATTCGACAGAAACCGATTTCACATTATCTTTGAAAAGTGAATTATCGATATCACTTGTTTCGGAGATGATCAATTCTGAAGTTAAGTGTTGGTGATTTGATTCATCTGATTGTGATTCAATAATACCTTTTGATTTTATAGAAATATTTGTTGGTGGAATTTTTCCGTCCGTCGTTACAGAATCACTATCACCTTGACTGTCCCCCTCTTGATCATCATCATCATCTTCACATGGTTGATAATCACTATCAGAAGAATACTTTAAAACTGTGCGATTAGACTGGGAGCGTTTTACTTTTAGACTGGCAGATATTGGAGTAGGAGACCGATCAGCATCCTCTTCTTTTTCTTCCTCTTCATCATCTAACACTCTACGAACTTTACTTTTACTTGTAACAGGAATTTCCGAAAAATTGTGTTCAGAATTATCTGTTGTTTCATCGTTTGATTCACGGTAACTAACAACAGTTCGGGTACACCTATAAATAAAAATAATAAAGTTTCATCCTGTACACTATACCAAACAGGTAATTGATGAGTACACATTATCAACAAGAAAAGATTAGAAAACTAGTTAACAACCATAAAAACACAAATTTGTAAAATTATTATGACCAGTATTTATTTAAGACTCACAACGTATTTAAAACGTCAATTGGTTTCAAAACTTCATTAAAAGGTAGCATATCTGGGCTGCTGAAACTCATTAAGAATGAATGAAAGTTAGCGTGCCCAACTATGGAAACTTTTATTGTGAAATCAAGTGTCAGAGTGTTAAATAGTGAGGTACACATTGGTTTAATCTACATATACACTAATATCTAACAATAGGGGTTACCAGACATTGTTGATTGTAATAAAAAAACAAAAACAGATTAAAATTAAAACTAAGCGGTTCATTAGTGAAAAATAGTTTGCTTGCTGACTTCTCGATCATACAATCCAATTCTTTCTCATGAATCAACATTACTAAAAGCAGATCTAGAATTTCGGCGTAAACAAGGAGCGAAAAAAATTATACATACGTTTATAACGCTAATGTATTGAGTATCCAACCATGAACTGGAGGGAAGGAAAATATTCATCATAATTGTGAAACCCGGTAGCCAGTTTCAAAACTTTAAGACAAGGCACAAATGTGTATTCGTTAAGGTTACAAAAAAGGACAAAGACAATGTGACTCCTGGATTGAGAATGAATAATATGTCCATCCTTCTCTGAGAGTGTTTCGCTAACAGTCGGTTTCCTTAACAAGTCTGAACAATTGTCTGCTATTACCTATTGCCGCTGCCTTTTCCATCTCTCTTGCTTTCGCTACCCACCACTGTTCGCGATCATTGCGTAGACTTCTTGTCAGCTTGCGCTTAAGCTGACTCCGCTCTTCATTATGTTCAGAGCCAGGTGGAATGAGTTTCCGAGCATCTATCAGTGCGATAGATGCTGCTGAGATCCAGTGTTGCTCCCTAACCTTCCGGTTTACCTTACTAGCAGATATCACTGCTGTTTCCACAGCTTTTCGGATATCATTCCATGCTGCATCGGGGTGGGCATCACATACATGGCTGCCTAACTGTTTTCCTAGTTGTTCCTGAAATATACTCTTAGCTTGACTATCA